TTTTTTTTCGAAATATTAACAAGATGGCGGCTTAAGCATCTGCTTGTTATTCGGCTACTGAAAGTGCACCTAAGTTTTATTCTTTGCTATTGCCACAAATTACTTAACAATTGCAACTGTATAAAGACCAAACTTTCTTCATCTGATACTATATTTATAGGCACTTGTTATGAGTGGGAAATATTTTTCGTGCAATATTTATTCTCCACACACCACCTCGCGAGATCAACGTGTAGCTGGACACTTACACAGTGAGACCCTACGACATAAAAGTTGCAATTTATCTTCATATTTCGTGTAGTTATGCATTTAAAAGCACTTACCTGTTTTTTGAAAACCTTGTCCAACGTAATATCATATAAATTCTGTATTTCTCTCATTTTTTAGAAACTTGGGACTCCGTTTCTGTTTCTGTCCTCAAAGATCAACAGACGAAGGCACAGATACTAACAAATGGGATTTAAACGAGAGTAACAATTAAGCGTAACAGAGATAGGCATCCATTGTTCTCTGGGTTCTATTCATTCCGACCAATGAGAGACTGTAATACGGGCTCCGCCCCCACGCGTGTAATCTCCTTCTGTTATAACTCCTTGGTCTGACAGTTTAGTAGGTGGGTTTTTGGTAGCATACTTTGAACCCTTCCTACAATCTAACAGTTGGTCTCATACCACACACTTTTCTATTTGTGATTTATTTTAATTTGTGGTCATATATATTTTTTAAAGGTTGGTACACATTGATCTCCCAGTGTCAGCTAAGGCAGCCCAGGTCAGGTATCGCTGGTGGCAGCCATATCATGAAGGCTTGGAGCAGGACCAGTGGGCCCTAGATCAGATCTCTCTGGATACATACACAGATCTGCCACTGTTGTATGATGACTTTGAGGTGAGGTGTGTGTGAGTGTGTGTGTGCACCCACACGTATGCATGTGTGTATGTAAAAGAGAGTGTGTGAGAGAGAGAGAGAGGGAGAGAGTGCTTAGTCTTTTAATATTGAGAAATTATTTAGTTATATAATTTATATTCATCATTTATACAATCATTATAACTAACACCAACAGAAACATTTAAATAAGCCTGTTAAAGGAAAATATTTTTAAGGGCACAGATTTTGTATCTGCACGGTTCTCACAACTTATTAAGATGTTATTTTTTTCAGCGGTTTAATGTGTATGACTCTTCCCATTGGCTGACGGTCACTGAGGGCATGCTGTTTATTTATTGCCAGTCTGCATCCAGTGCACTGGTCCTTAACAATCAGGATAATCCAAAGTTTGCCATCACCAAACGACTGAAACTTGCGAAAGGGGATGTTGTACAATTTAAGGTCAGATATGGTATATTTACATTATTATAATAGTAATTTAGTTTGGCATTATATAAAATTAAAAAAAAAAAACCTAAAACATTGAATAAATTTTATGCATTGCAAACAGAAGCCAGCCAATTTTTATCATCCCTGAAACTAAAACTTTGAATGTGATCTCAGAATATGCTTCACTGCAGTGCTTTGGAAGCATGTCTCACCATAATTTTGCTTTGTATCTTCTTTTATGTAAAAAAAATGTATTGTTTCAGATCAATGTTGGCTGCTCTAGGCAGTTTGCATATGCAGACCCAGTGTATCTTCGATTTTCCCATGATTCTGGGAAAACATGGCAGCTAGTCATCAAACAGTGTTACTTGGAAGATAGCTGTCAGCAGCAGTATAGAGAGGAGAGTCGATATTACACAGGGGCATATGGAGAGTGGAGGATGGTTGTGGTTCCTTTGGAAGATTACATTGTTGCTAAGTAAGCTAAATTGGAACATAAAATTGATAAATGGAAATTTATATTTTCCAAAGTAATGTTTTTTTAGTTATACACTTTGGGTTCATCCATTTTTTTTTCACAAGAATTCACATTTTCCACAAAAGAGTAAACTTTTTCCAGACCCCCTTTTCCCTTTCAGAGAGTACAAGCAATTTGGAACATAATTTTACTTATTTTTCAAAAGTGTACAGAGGACATTAAACCTCCCCCAAGGGTATGGTTTGTAGATTTGTGAAAATGATGATTAAATTGATGACCCCTTAAAAATGTAATTGAAAATTCTGACCAGTGAATCGGGTTTGTATCTGATTGTAGTTTTGCTGAGAAGTTACCAATCAGAATTCATTGTGAAAAAAATTGGAATGTAGGAATAAATTAGTTGTTTAAAAATTTTGATTTATTACCTTACCTTTGATATACTGGTGTTTTTTCTTCATTTTTTGCCTTTCTCAGGAGAAAACGACAGTTTCATATGATCAGCTAGTTCTTACTAATTCTAATTTAAAATATGAATTTAAGAAATTTGAGTTAAGGTGATACCTGTACATATTTCTCTTGGACATTTTACTCAACAAATTTATCATGTATCTTTAATTCCCCTATATTCTCAGACCAGTGCAGTTCCAATGGTTACAGGGTGGGGACTTATCAGCAGGCTTTGCACTTGATGACCTTTACATTGGTCAGCCATGTCCAGAAATGTGCAGTGGTCAAGGGGTGTGTAGACGGGGAACCTGTGACTGTTTCAAGGGATTCCGTGGTAATGCATGTGCAAGCATGAACATGTGCATGTTGTTTTTGTTGCATGCATGGTTCATTATAGATTATTGTTATGAATTAAAATATATGCCTAATAACAAGATCTAGCCAAACCAGTGTATACTAGCACATTGAACCATAACTGTCTAACAAATTAAGTTTCTGTTGGTTTAAAGCATGTACAATGCACTTTAATACTGTTTTATGATACCATAGACATTTCCAAAGATAATTTGTCTCAGTTTTTCTGTTCAGATTATTTGATGCTTTCCAGCGTTTCATGATGTACTAGAAAAAGTTTCAAAGAGTAATATATTATTTTGAAGAATTCCATGCCTCAGTTATCATTTCAGTCATAATAATATTGTAATGCACAGTTTTTATTTACTTCTTTTATTTATTTATTTTTTTCTACTTCAGAGCCAAATTGCACTAAGCCTAGTCAGGGGTCTCATGGAGAATTTGATCGCTTTGACAACATGAACCAACCCAGTGCATTATGGGATAACATCCATGGGGGGCAATTAGGGGCAGGCTGTGGTGTCATCGATGTTGGAAAGTCACTTTATTTCTATGGTGATGGAACTAGAGAAGCCAAAACCGTTGTCATGGATATATCTAACATCAAGTGAGATTTTTTGTCTGAAAGTTAATTGGGCAATGAGTTTGTGATTACTTGATTTGTACAATTAATTTTATGTTTTACCAAATTTGATCATTTGGTATACTATGAAACGTGTATTTAAATGCCTTTTATCAAATTAGACCTAAAAAATTAAAATAGAGAACAAAATTTATAGTTTTTTTATCTAACTGTCACTAAAAGTATCATTTGACTGTTCAGATGTTTTGGAATAGCAGTTCTTATAATTGCAGTTACTGTTGCTATGTGAAACTATATATTTCTGACAACCATGGCATACTTTTTCATTTTAGAATGCTTCAGTTTGACATCAAAATTGGAAGCAATGAAAACACAAAATCCTGCAGGAAACCAGCCAGAAGAAATGAAGGGGTAATTGTAGAATATTCCACCAATAATGGTATCACATGGCATTTGTTGCGGTCCTTGGATCCATTTACATGCTGCAACCAATCACAAGTGGTGAATATTCAGCTACCAGATGGCGCCAAAAGCAAAATGACTTCATTTAGATGGTGGCAGGCATTAGGGACAGAAGGTAAATTTTAACTTTAAAGTTCTTACTGAAGACTTGTGGGGAACATATTGTAACTCAATATTTAAAATAGACCAGCTGATCTCTCCAAAGATTGAAAATTAAAGCGACCAATTTTAATTTTAATACATTTATTTATTCAACAATTAAAACTCATACTGGACATTTACCCTGTATGAATGGTAGATGGAATATGAGCTGAGATTGTCTATAGAAATCACATACTGGACACTTACAAACAGTACATACAATATGGTCAATGCTCATAACACCGACCGTTAATATGTTGTAGTATTTTATTTTTGAATTAATATCCATTCTTTATTGATTTAAACAACAATTGGATGAATCAACAAATATACTGTGGAATTTATTTATTATATTGGTTTTCACAGATGAAGAGAGGGCACAGTGGTCCATAGACAGCATAGTCATAGGAATTAACGAGACCACACGTTCCACCTTCCAGGATGATTTCTCTCCCATGCAGCAGGACGTTTGGTTCATGGCCCAGAATGCAGTGCCAAGACTGACATGTGACTCCAAGGACTTGGCATTGGAGTTTAGTAAAACAGATGGTGAGTCAACTTTTTGATGCGCGTCTTTTGGGAAAAATAGCATTTGGTCATATGGAATTTATTTAATATAAAAGCTGTGAATGTTCAATAAATTGAAATATGTTTTATTTACGCAGAGAAAAGCCATCCTTTCTACTGCCATGCAGAACTTGTGGTAATTTTCAAAATTAACTTTTAAAACCCAAACTATAAAGATAGAATAGTAGTGCACTTTTGACTTTGTATTTTTGTGCATAGAAAGCAGAATTATCCCTTTCTGCTTGTACACTCAAAGAATCATTATACATAGTCATTTTTAGAATCCAAACACTAGAACTAAATGGCATATTGCACGAAGATTTTTGGCATTTCAGAGAAACAGTTTATTAAAATGGGGAAATGTTAAGTGGCCACAAAAAATTAGGAGATATAAATTACCATAACATAAAGAATAATATTTTTGATACAGCCTATTTGATTCACACATAAAACTAATAACATGAACTGGTATCATCTAAGATCATAATATTTATTCAACATTCCAGCTGTGCAAAGGTACGCAGAAACCTGGGACTTCCATGTGATGCCGTCCTCGTTCCTGCAGTTTGATCTGGCCATGGGTTGTGGCGGGGCGTACTCCTCCCTGTACCATGTGATGCTGGAGTTCTCCAAGGACATGGGGCGAACATGGCACCCAGTGGTGGAGGAATGTCTGCCGCCTGACACCAACTGCGTGGGTTATCATCTCAGCAGTGTCTTCTCGTCAGAGTCACACACAAACTGGACTAGGGTGACCATGTACCTCCCGGCCAATGCAGTGTTAGTGTATTTTTTAAGCAATTTCAGGTTACTCAGCTCATTTTTTTTTTCAGTTCTTTTTTGTGTATATGCATAACTTTTTCTTTGCACACACGTGTGCATGTACATATATTTTTGCTATACTTGAATATGAGCTTTTTGTAAAGAACCCGTTTGTCAAGTTTGATTGAAAAACTTTTTTTCATACAGTCACAGGAACAAACACAGTCATGCACCTATTCTCAGCCAACTGTGCCAAGTGATTTGTTGCAACAGATGTTATTCAGAAATAATGGGACTGTGGACACTGTTTATTTTGAAATTTATTGTACTCTGGTGAGGGGAAGGGCTAAAAAGACAAGGTGATCATTCAAGCAAATAAAAGAAGCATCCAAAAATTCAACATTTTGAACAATGTTACTTAATATTCTTTTCACCATTAGGTCTCCTGCCACCAGATTCCGCTGGCTACAGCAGACGACAACCTCGCGTGGAAACATCTGGGCCCTGGACAATGTATATTTGGGTGACGGTTGTGCCTGGATGTGCTCAGGGCATGGCTACTGCAGAAATGGACACTGTGTGTAGGTAACCAGTGGCAGTCTGATAGAAAGTTCTCACTTTAAAGGCATAATGCTTTTAGAACTAAAGAAATCAATCAAACAATGAATGTTTCATGCATATGACCATCACGGTCATCTTGAGGTCAGCCTGGACAACAACTGTGCTAATTTAGTATATTTTGACTTGAAGGTTGCTCAATAAAACTTTGGTTTGTGCTGATTGTAACAAATTTACCACTTTAATGTATTAATCAATTCATAAGTGATAATATCATCTTTTAGATATATTGAGTGAAATGCAATATTGAGTCAATTAAAATGCTCCTGTTCCAAACGTACCAGATATTTTCATAAAAAAATGTTGTGTGGGAGTGGAAAGTTTTGAATATAATTGGAATTACTGTGGTAATTTGTAAGTCTGCTGCTGAATTAATTAATATAACTTTATTTCATATACTGTTGGAGTAAGGAGCTAGTGAACTTAAAAAATAAAAAACTCTAATTGTTACTCCGGGTCAACCTGCATATGCTTTAGTGACATAAAAATGTGAAAATAATTTTCTTACAGATGTGATCAGGGATATTTTGGTGAATTTTGTGTACCTCAAGTCCCGTTGCCTGGGTATTTAAAGGACAGTTTTGATGGTCAACTGCAGAATGACCAATGGCCAGAGATATATGGAGGAGAGGTGACCAATATATGTGGCGTCATACAGTTTGGGAACTCTCTTACTTTTTACAAAGTAAGTGAGATTGTTAAATGATATTGTGACGTATATTTGAATGAAGTATTTACAAAAAAAGACTACACTGAGAGGGAATTGATGGGAAATACATCCTTGAAATATTAAATGTTTTGCTTATTATATAATAATGAGAAAAGGTATCAAAGCAGAAGTTGTATTATCTATGCACATGGCTAGGTGAATTATTCCTGATGTTTTTATTTAAAATTCATGGGATGACTTCATTATGTAGTCAGTTGCTGGGGGAATAGGAAGTGATATGGGGTTCATGAAAAATAATTGTATTGGGATTTGGTTGGTGTCCCAACAAATGCAGATTTTTATTTGTGCCAATAGCATTCCATATCCTCCAAGTGGTAATTAAGTGACTGCATGACTGATACAATGTAGTATAGCAACTACCCATATATAATTAGAAGATATTACACAAAGTTAGATGATATTTTAAGAACTGTTGCTGTTGTGAAAAATGCTTATTATTGATATAAAAAGTTTCAGATACATACTGTAAAAATTCCTGATGGAAGTTAAATAGCTTCTTTGAAAGATCCAAAATTTGTGTTATGTGTTGCCATTGTCTTAATTAAGAAGCTTTTGAAACAGAAAAATGATACTCTGGATTTTTTAAGGAGAGTAATTTTTCCTCAGGACACCATTAGACTAATAGCTACAAGAGACTTGGATGCATCTGCAATTATGGTGCTGCAGTTTGTGTTCCAATATGGCTGCAATGACATGCATCCAACATGGTCGCCTGAACACAGTGTGCTGTTGCAGTATTCAACCAATGGCGGGGTTAGCTGGCAACTCCTAAAAGAGCTGTTTTTTGTTCCGTCTGCTGGAAGAAGGTTTTCTTTTCTTTTCTTTTTTATTCAAAATTAAAGTATCAAGAGGTAATGGAGATTTTGTTGGTAAATGTTTTTTATATAATTATTTATGTAGTTATGAGATAAGATATGATAGTAAAGCTGCAATTTGAAATGAAATTCTCTTTTCTCTTCCAGATTTTTCAGTATAACAAATTCCAGGCAAGCTATGAGTAACTCAACAAGGTTCAGATTTTGGCAACCCAAACATGGAGGTAAATATTAGTTGGGTGTATCAGTTCACTTTATGTTAATGTTGTTAAAGGTTCTTCAATGTACAAAATACTTGATGTTTACAGAAATAGTGTTGAAATTTCTTGGATTTTTTTCATGTTGTCTGATGTGCATTGTACACCTTTCAGTAACTTTTTACCCATTTTTATTTCAGGTTACATGCAGTCTGTTTGGTCAATCGATAGTCTGTACATAGGAGGAGCTGCTATGCACCCTACCTCCGTGTATGAAACATTTGACTCTGAACCTGACCCAGCACTCTGGCTCTTTTGGCCTGGAGGAAGGATTGGAGAGTTTTGCGCAGATCACACAGGGTAATTTAACTGACCATTTTTGGGGGGTGCTAAGTCAAGTGATTTTTGAGATTTTTAATAGGATTTGATAGTTTAACATATTTCAGTTTGGAAATGTTTTTATTTCTACATATACAAGTTTGTTTATATTCACAAATAAATCATCTTATGGTTGCGAGAAATATTCAAATAAAATTCACATAATATAACTGTACAACTTTTTTGTTACATTTTGGGAATACCTTGCCTACGTTTTTTTACCAATGTAGGCCAGATACACCACTGACTGGCTCCAAGGCAATAGTATATAAGAGAGGTCCCGGTGAGAAGTCTATCACTACCAACGACATGGAGGTTGGGGAAAAAACTGTGGTGCAGTTTGATGTGAGATTTTGTTTTTAGTATTTTTGCGGTCATTGTGTTGATTTTAATCATTGGGTTAGGGTTATATTCAAAATTTCTTTGTACATTAAACTAGTTCCTATATCCATATATAATTGTTCTCAGTATTGAAAACTAACTTCACCATTTTTTTTGAAGAAAGTACACTTGAAATGTATGCCATGTGTGAATATCATCCAGACCAGCAGCAGAAGACCAGTTATAATCTGTAATGGAATTGGCGCCTTTTCCTGTTGCCATTTTATGATAAGATTTAGTAACTGATGTATGAGATTGCTACTTGTCACATATTTGACATTGCACACATTTAATTTCCAGTTCACTAAACAACATTCTGATATTTTCAGATAAATGTTGGTTGTTCCATCCATTCCTACCACAAACACCCAGTGTACCTTCAGTATTCAAAGGATGGAGGACTGTCCTGGTTACTAGTGGTGCCACCTTGTAAGGGGGATGCTTGTGCCCACTCAAGTATAGATGGCACTGTATTCTATAGTGGAACCAGCAAGAAATGGAGGAGAATTATAGTGCCTTTGGCAGGATTGAAAATTTGTGGGTAGGTAGAAATAAAGGAGTGGTGATATTCTATCTATTAGTCACAGAGACAGCATAAGTTGAATTGTGAAAATGATATATCATGATGGTTTAATGTTTGTGATATAAAAGAGAATATAAAGATACAGTATCATAGATATCAGTACTGCAGTTTACTGTTTTTGCATTGCGGGTTTATTTTCTTAAAAATGAAGGATTCATAGTGTGTAAAAATATACATTTAGGCTGCTATCCCCAAAATGTTATTATGTATTTTCATTAAGTTAAGCTGTTTGTGAGTGATGTCTTTCAAAAATATTCCAGGACTGCACGTTTCCGTTGGTATCAAGGGTATTTTGGTGAACGAGAATTTACCCCGGAGTGGAGCCTGGACAATGTCTACATAGGGAATAGCTGTAGAGATCACTGCAGTGGACATGGCACCTGTGTCGCTGGAGTTTTGTGTCAGTGCGATGATACATATGATGGAAGCGGCTGTGAAACCGCGAAGGGGAACCCTAAGTACCTGAAGGATGATTTCAATGGTAAACATGGCAGGGTCTGTTTGTGGAAAGGACTAACTTAAGGTTTTTCGAACATAGTTGGTCAAGAGATATAATTTTGAGTGAGAATGTTTTGAGACTAATTTATTTTTGTCAAAAAATGATGCTTGTTTATCACATTGTATTAAAGTTAAGGTTTTTTAAAGAAAATTAAAGAAATAAAATTCTAATATCTATGTTGTGATATTTTCTTGTAGCTTAGTTTAATTCCTCTTCTAATTTTTCTTCATCTGCAACTTATAGTGTTCATTCATTGTTTTCTTCTAATTGAGAAAATAATTTTGTTCATTCTTTTAGATGCAGCCATCTCAGACAGGAAGTGGGTGTTACACAGTGGGGGCGAGTTGACCAAAAAGTGTGGTCAGTTGGTCACAGGGAATGCCTTCCACACCACCAGCTCAGGGGTCAGAGGACTGGTCAGCAGGGACCTTGACCTTACTCAGGCCAGGTAGTGTTGAACAATGTGTTGTGCACTACCTTATATTTGTATGTGTGTACATGTTTGTGCATGTATATGCATATATGAGGGCATGTAAGGATGTCAATGTGTGTACATGTCAAGATGTCAAGAAACAAACCTTCCAAGGCAGGTTAGAATTCATATTAGAAAAACCACCAAAATAAGCATAAATTTTAAAGTATTTTATGATGAGTATTTACTGTGTCCCATAAATTCCAGTGTTGTCCAGTTTACAATAAAGCGTGGCTGCAGCCCTGTGACCTCTGACCCCATGACACAGCCAGTGCTTCTCCAGTATTCCACTAATGGTGAAATATCATGGACCACGATGGAAACATTCTCGTTCAATGGCACATCCAACATGGCGGAGTATGTTGCGTTGCCGTGGCCAGAGGAAGCCAGAGAGAAGGCTGTCAGAGTGAGATGGTGGCAGCCCAGTTCTGATGGAACTTACAGGGATGAATGGGCTCTTGATGATGTAAAGATGAGATACCTAACTAAATTAATGATAAATATATAAATAATAAGCTTTTTGTCAGGAGAAAAAAACAGATTTTGTTTAGAAGTAAAAATAGTAAAGATAAATTTTCTCTAAGGAGACTAAATTTTTTTTTTATATCAGTTATTGTGTGACGCATCATTTCAACCTTTCATAAAATGCCTTTGAACATATCACAATGTCCTTGGATAGAGGGTTAAAAAACCATGGTAAAAAACTTGTTTCGTTAATTAAAAAATGCCTTCTTCACCATCATTACACAAGGGGCAATAAAAAATTTATTTCATCATATTATTTATTTTATTAATATTTTAAAGAAAGAATGAACTTTCATATCATTTTATTCAGGATATTTATCAATAAAGATATGGAAGATGTCTTCCATGTTTGCTTAATTATAAATAACAACAGGCCTTATAACACTACTACTTTAACAAATGATGCATTTGTATTTTTATCTTTAATTGTTTTTAATTGTAATCATCACGACATTTGATAGGTTTTTATTTTATTTATTTATTTACTTTTTCAGATATTTATCGGTGGTAACATTATGGGGGAGGTGGCCCTACAGGATGACTTTGTTGCCGTGAAAGACACACATTGGTTGACACTTGCTGGTGGACAACTGCAGACAGGTGTATGTCACCCTGGAAAATATGCCTTACAGTTTTCAGGTAGATGGTCTATGGTATTACAGTAAATTTAGTATATTACTTTAAATTTTGATTTGTTTTTGTAATTTTTGTATGAAAATGAATATATTCTTTATTTTGAGTTTTGTGATGTTTTAATGCTGGTATATTTCTGTCAGGGAGTTGGTTGATTTTAATTATTTAATAATTTTATATCAATTAAGTTACTTGAAATTGAAGTTTATAGCAAGGGTTTATCTAAACAATACTTTGTTTTCTAGGTAATTTAACAGATGCACTTTACATTTCTGTAATTTCTGACATTATACAATTTGAACTTTAGCTGAGGTCAGTGAGTTGTTTTGCAGACCTCATAAAAGTGATCTCAGTAAGTTATTACCATATAATACATTGTTTCACTGGGAGATCCAAGATTTAGCTGGGGGTTGGGGAACAAAGACAAAAAAAACAGTTTCCTCACTCTTCAAATATAAAATAGTAGACAAGGGTAAATTATATGATATACCAGGCAAATAGATGGATAAATTGCTTAGATTTGTCTTGTTTGCTTGTTTTACCTTTTGGGGGAGGGGATAAAAGGGTGCTAGCCCCAAAACTTGGGGGGGGGGGCATGACCCACTAAGCCCCTTCACTGAACCCAATGTTGAATTCATTTGAATTTAACTTTGTAAATGACAAGAAACGTCACATTATAATTAGTAAAATTTGCTATTTTCTAGGTGAAGGTACACCGCGGTTTGCAGTCACTTCTGATATTGTCGTCAGAGAGAACACATTTGTACAGTTTGAACTTGCCATGGGCTGTAACAAGATGGACAAATGTTACGGTAAGCGTTTTGCACCAATTAACTATAACTTTAACACTTGTTACAAGTATACATTAAACAGGTAGTGCTAAAGGGACTATGAAATATAATGCCCAGTGAAGGGAAATAAGACACTGAATCAGATGTGTTAATCATTAATATTATTACTATATATATCAAACTTAATATAAAGTTTAAAAAAATGAACCATTATGTTGCTTGATGAAATTCTTCTTTCCCTTATTATTATTATTATTATTATTATTATTATTATTATTATTATTATTATTATAAAGCACTGTTTTACACCAGGGATCCATTTAGAGTATTCTCTGGACATGGGGAAAACTTGGTCACTGGTAGCCAGTCACTGCCTGCCGTCCAGTGTGGACTGTGTGTCCTTCCACACTGATACCACATTCCCGTCAGATGTGCTCTTTAACTGGAAGAGGGTAATCTTACCACTGCCTTACTACACTAGGTGAGTGACAGATAATAAATCATTGTGCTGCTTCACATTTCTTTTCCTCCCTTTTGGTACAATAAAAGATTAACATTATTAACTGTTTTCTCAAGATGCTGACTGCCAAGAACTGACGTGATGTTTAATTAAAAAAGAAGGGTCCGATGTCTGACAATAACTTATGTTTGAATAGGTTTGAACTGTTTTCTCTTTTCTTATTTTCTTTCTTCCTAATATTCCTATTTAATCAGTTAACATTGTTTGGAAGGGAGTTAAGTATACAAGGTGAACAAACAGAATTTATTAAAATTAAGCCACTCAGTTTTTGAACCTCTTTCTTCTTTTGTTTCCTAGTCCATGTCATGTGGCCTTCTGTTATAGAGAAAAGGTCTTATTGTCTATTCATTACTTCATCAGGTGAAGTTGAACATATGTTGCTCAGTAATTGCTTTTTATCCCCTTTGTTTGTCATCTTTGGAAAATAAATCGACTTAAGCATTGATTTGTTTCTGACACACAACTTGTCAGGAGGCGTAACGATTATAGCAAAGATGTACCAGATTGACAGAAGTAGTAAAACTAAAACTGTATCATAATCATCAACATCATTATTATATTATCTTTCACCCTTTGGGTGGAACAGCAGCAGCCTCAGCAACATGCTCAGATCAAGAGTCCAAGTGTTTTGTTAAGTTGCACATCACATTGTTCATGGGGTTCCAATTTAGGTGTCCAAAATATAAGTATTGTAATAATTTGAAGTTCATCATACTGGAAACTTATAGCAGTTTTCTCAAGCGACTACACCCATTTGACATGCTTTGTGTGATTTTCTGGTTCAGATTCAGGGCTGTGAACGCCCGAAGTGAGCATAACTAATATACATCTAAAATGTTCAACTTGAGGATAAATGAATGAATAAGAATGATTTGGTACTGTAAGGAATACAATCCTGTTTATCTTATGTTTTGGCCCTTGGTGACTGTACTATAGTACTATACAGAGGTGGATGGAGGCCTTCTTCTGGGTCTTTCGGAAGACAGTCAGAATTTTCAAGTTCCCATTGACAGGCAGCTAATTTTTTTCTGTCAGAAGACGGTCAAAAATGGAGGACGAATCAACAGAGTTAATTTGGAAAACTGTCAAAAATATCTCTGGATTTGACCCTGCTATATTATCATACTTCTAAGTTTACAGATAGCAAACTTCTTGAGCTATGTAATGTTATTTTTAAGCCCCTAGAGAGGGTTGATATATTGTATAGCAGTTCTGTTGAAATAATATATCTTGTTATTTTAATTTGAATTTGATTGGAATGATTGCCAAGAATTGTTATTGATTTAGAGGACAGTTCTCAATTTTTGTTCCTGGAATTATCTTGTTACCTTGTGAGCTGAAGATGAATCTGAAGATTTCCTTGTCATGCAGTACATAGCTTACAAAATGAAAATGTTGCAGAATAAGAGGATTGAGGCTGGGCTCACTGAGGTGTAGAGTTAGAGATGTTTCCCCTCTCTCTCTCTCTCTCTCTCTCTCTTGCTGAGCTTATGTGTGCAGGACAGGGGAGCATGCAGCTAAACATGTTTTTGTTTCATTCAAAAATGAAAAAAAAGCAACAGCATGTTTATAGATACATCAGCTTTTACTCATTTTTAGATAAACATTTAAATTGATATATATATATATATATATATATATATATATATATATATATATATATATATATATATATATTTTTTTTTTTTTTTTAAATGCATGTGTCTGTACTAACAGTGAAAACAAGTGGCCAGAGGAATTTGGCCTCTTATATCTTCAATGAGTGTAATCCTTTTTTTTTTCATCAACAATTATAACAAATGTCACAATAGGTAGTGAAAAAAGATAAAATTGTTATTATATTTGCAGAGGTGTTGAATACAATAATTGAAATGAGCAAACAGTTTTAGATACCAAGCAGAACAAAAAATACATAAACATTGTTATTTTGGACTCTGATTTGCTAATTTTACACTTTTATGTCATTTGTTAATTAGTTACTCTGTATCATTTCAGCTATCATATGCAATACTGAATATTGTTCCTATGTATTTTGGTGTACTTTTCAAGACTGGATATTAATGCCAACATTAATCTGAAATTTTCACTATAGCACCAGCATAAATTTGAATAGTCTGAATAATCTGAATAATCTGTTGTTGATTAGCTGACAAGATATGCTTTGGTGCTTTCAAAAACTAGCAGGATTCACAAAAATGGGTAAATATATTTTAAAACCATAATACCCAAGGAGTACATGGCAAATCAATACCGGTGATTTCCATTAAAAATTGAAAATAGATAAGAACTGTGATTCTTTTTGTTTTCCTAAGCCAAAGTGATATCAGATAGATCTAGAGTAATTGCATTAAATTTTAAACATTGGTGTGAGTCTAGGAACAGATAACCTTCCGTTTAATAACAGATAATTCTATTCTACATTAACCTTCCGTTTAATAACAGATAATTCTATTCTACATTAACCTTCCGTTTAATAACAGATAATTCTATTCTACATATCTGCTTACAATTCTTCGTATCCCAGACACCATGTTGTGTAGAGTCCTTTTTCCAACTGCTGTGTATGAACTTAAGATATCAGAGATACCAATATCTAGCATGAGAACAGGAGTTTATTTAAATTTTGCTTCCTTAGTAATTCAAGGAGAGAGGGGAGAGGGTATCAGGGGCGGATTTAAGCCGTCATCTGGGTCTTCCAGAAGACGGTCAGATTTTCAAGTTTACACTGACGGGTATCTTATTTTTGCTGTCGGAAGACGGTCAAAAAATGGAGGATGGATCAGCAAAGATAATTTGGAAGACTGACAGAAAATATCTCTGGATCCGCCCCTGGGTATAAATGTGAAAAAGGTGGCATGTAACAGTTATAACAAACCTTCCAATCAATCCTTAACCCCCTCCCCCATTACATCCAACAGCTCAATTAAGTTACTGCATGTAGGGGACATTTTCAGCAGGTATGTAGCTTTGGTTTGGAGCAATGAGAGTGTCTATGCAGTTTGACTTTTTTCTTCAAGTTGTCCCTAACACAGTGTGAAGAGCAGTGTCACTTTAAGATCATGGTAACATGACACCATAAAATGATTGGGTAAAATCAGAAGTTCTTTGCATCTTTGACAATTATAAATAGAAAAAAAGACCTTGCAGCAACATGGTGCCTAAGGACATTTGAAATCTTGGTAATTAAAATCTAAATACTTATCATCAGATTATGAGACAAAGAAAGGAAATTCTGAATATTATTTTGAAGTTCAGCATTGTATGAATCTTTGATCTGAATAAATAATGAGATAATTCTTCACAGCTGTGAGCATCTTGCCCCACAGTTTTATCATTTCATATTTGATTTACTTAGAGCACACAACACAGGTGACTTCTCTCCCTTCTTTGTACTCAGGACAGGGGAGAGCATAACCACAATCAACTTCAACTGTGTAGAAAAGAGCGCCGTTTTTATTGCCCTCACCTCCTGCAACAACTTCAGGAGCCTCATCAAGGCAGATATATTCGCTTTTTCCATGGCTATAATGGCTAGAAACCAGGTAACCATGATATTCCAGTGTCCACCTGGCAGGACACGTCTTCCAGGCTGGAATCATCACATGACTGGTGCGGTCTTTGGTGTGGCAAACAGCACACGGAGCATCATGGTCCTTGAAGTTCTCACCTCCTGCATTGGTCTTTAGGAATGGGTCATTGCTGTAACTTCCCATTTTGTATTCGGCACCATAGATATAAGTCCCACTTTGGAGACCATTTTGATAACTGCCCCACTGTGGTTGTTTAGGTAGGCACAGGTAGTTGCTTCCTGTTCCCTTGTTTAAATAATAGGAACCAGCTGCATAACCTGCAAATTAATTACAAAATTTGACATTTGCTGAATGTTAAAGATCACCCCCTTCAGATATGAAATATTGAACATTGAATCAATATATTTTAATTACTGGGACTAATAACTTAAGTATTCACTTTGGCAATGAAGACTCATATTAAACGTATATGCCTTAAAGCGTAATACTGCCACCATCAAACTAGACCCATCAAACTATAAAGGTCTTACACCTGTTCACACTACAAACATTTATCCAAATAAATAGTGAATCAGGTCACGATTAGAATAATTGCTGTAGTGTGAATGCATGAGGATTTCTGCTATAAGTTTTCTTAAAATCCTTCTTGCCAGCTGGATTTCTGATAGCATTTCAAATAACTAAACAGAACTGAAACCTGGTTAGGTCTTATTGTGCATGTGCGCAGAAAACCGAAAGTATTAACTATGGACACTTATTTCCTAAGTTAGCAATTGCACTAGAAGTATTCGGGAGTCACCACTCACTATAACACAGGGAAATGTTAACTTATTTTGCTATCTGAGTGCTGAGAATGCTAGAATGTCTTTTGACTTGCACTTGCCGTAACAATTACAAATACAAACACACGGTAAAAAGTATGAATATAGAGCTGTAAATGGCACATTTTTGTATGCATGGAGTTTTCCTGTGTGGAGCATGTGTGATTATTTAAAATAGGAACCTGAATTTTTTCAACCTAGATGCAGTTAAGTTTGCTGAGTGTGTACAGGAAAGGAAATCAATTTTTTTTTACCAGAAATTCAAATTTAAAAAATCCAGAATTTTCAGATGGTTGTGTGAATGGGGTAATTGTATCACCAGTTGTGTTTATAAACTCTATACTGACATCAGCTTAGATATATAGATTTTCAGTGTTAAAAGAAAAAGAAAAAAAACAGAAGCTAATGAGGCACACCCAGCTTTTGACTGGACTGGATGGGTCAGATGGTAGAGTGCTTGCCTCCAGTGCAGAAAGACAATGGGTGCAATCCCCAGGGCCAGAATACTGGGTCATAAAAATGGTGGTGTGGTCTACATCTTTGAAGGAGAACCAAATGTGAAATCAAAGACACTAATGAAATAAATCTGTATTTCCTTGTAGCAAACTTG